GGGGGAGGGGGGGGGTCCCGAAAGGCGTTCTGCACAAGGGATGCTCTCAAAATGAGAGTGCAATTGTAATTAAAATGTGCTTCAATCATGCCAAGCCGAGATTTCTCGGTGTGTACGCTTATCGTCCAAGTTGTATTGTAATTCATGTGATTTTTTGGTTTTTTTTTTTGGCCCGAGCCTTTAAAAGGCTTAAATTGGATTTTCCAAATTTAAGTCATCATTTGTCCTTAAGAATGACACTTAATCCTTAAATCCACCATTCCAAGAATTGAACAAGATCGCCGTGTTATCCTCGGAGCTCCTCATAACACATTTGATGAATTTGTGAAAGGTTCTCTCCGTCCGTTTCTTATGGCACTTGTACTTAATCCATCCCAGTTGATATCAGGCACGTTAACCCCTTAAAGTTTGATTGTTTGTTTTTAACATTGGATGGCAGGGTGGGCATGTACAGTAATTACCAAGTCTGCTCTCAAAGGGTGTGTGTGTGTGTGTGTGTGGCACTGTGTGCCAGACTGCTGCATGAAAGCATATGTACATCTGTATGAGGGCGTGTGTGTGTGTGTGTGTGTGTGTGTGTGTGTGTGTGCGTGCGTGCGTGCGTGCGTGCGTGCGTGTGTGTGTGTGAACCTTGGCTCTGTATTTTTCCCCTCCAATTGCATTTCAACTCAGAAGTCATGTGGTGGCAAATATTTTTCGTCGACATGCGCCGATTTCCCATGACCTTGAACATGACAAGCGCTATAAAAAAAAAAAATGAAACTTGGCGCGATGGACGGATACTTCAACAAATGTATGTTGGCTTTCTCTTTTCGCTGTGTCTCTTTTAGGGCTCCATGTTTTGCTTTAGTGTCAAGACTGCAGATGATAAGACATATTCATCACCACGTCTCACCTCAACAAACACCCCCATAAACAGACTTGTTCTTTAACCCCGCACACTCAGACATCGCCACGCTGGCAGCGCTCCGGCCGCTCGCCACCTGCCCCAAGCTGCGGCTTCTCGATCTCCGCGGCAACCCCGTCACTCAGAGCGCCGACGCCGAGTCGCACCTCGCGGAGCTCCTGCCTTCCGTGGCGTGCCTCCTGCTCTGATGCGCCGGCGGCGGGCGGCGGGCCCGTCACTCAAGGATGACGCTGCCGCTGGCGGCTGGTTTGTGAAGGAGTGAGTGGATAATTTTTTTTTTTTACCAAGTGTGCTGTCACTTCCACTTGTTTGGTGGAAATTTGATCAAAACAGCCCCCACTCGTCTGAATGCCTCTGAAGGCGGATATCAAAACACCTATAATGAAAAGTCTGTGTTGTTCGTGCGTGTGTGTGTGTGTGTGTGTGGTTGAGTCATAACTGCTTTTTTTTCCCGCAGAATGGGTGAATGAAGGTCGATAATACCTCCGAATGCATGGTGCAAAAGCTGCAATAATGGAAATCATAGACAGTGTGTGGATGGATCCGCGCGATCACGTTTTATAAGCTTGAGAGACACTTAAAGCAACAGTAAGAAACGGGAATGGCGCTCCATGCGGTGTGACGATGTGAGCAGAGCTCAATGTGACCGAGTTCTGCAGTTCTTAAATGTTTTCCAACGAGTGCCATCGTAAAAGAAAACAAAAAAAAAAAAAACTACACAACGTCAAAATGCAGTGGCATTGAAGGCATTTCAATGTTCATCAAAAATGAGTGCATTGAACATTCTTGTAAGCCACTCCAACAGGATGCAGTTTGAATGCCATGTTAAAATGGAGAGAGAAAAAAAATATCCCCTTCAAATGTATTGCGCACAATACATATTGTGCTGAAATGTTTAAAAACATTCACAAGATTAAATGCAAATTTATTGAACTTGCAGTTTAAATACAAGTCAGCTGCGAACTTTGGCAGTGATTTTTTTTTTCTTACCAATAGGGGGAGTTCGAGTACGACTAGTTGTTAGAAAACCACTCAAGGGTTGACTGCAGTTATACTTGAAGCCTTTTGCCCCGATGAGGGACCGAGCCCTTCAGGAAATCGTGAAACACCATAATTTAATGCCCCTCTCAAGATGTTTATCAATAACTGCTTATATTAATTGTTTAATTAGTAAATATACCACAAACTATCATCCTAAAGTACTAACATTGCAAACCCATTTGATAATATGACCTTTAAAAATAAATACTTTATAGATGATTTTATTAAAAAAAAAATAATAGTCATAATAGTGTATCCAAAGTGTGTGTACAGCAAAAACTCTCCATAACAACCCAGGCTAAACTTAGTTTCTCCCTTGACACACAAAGCGTGCATCTCAGTTGATGTGTATCACTTTGGCATATATCTTTGGACTAACGTCTTGTGTTCGTGAATAGCGATCCTCAAACGTGCCGGGGGTGGGGTGGGGTGGGGGGTGGAGTTGCTCATCAAGTCTGTTCACAATCTTTTTTAGTTAGGCTGCTTACAAACAAAAGGGCTCATTAGGGTCGTCACTGCTCTGTTTTAAACCACACAATGACAGGAGAAAATGTGGAAAATAAAGAAGCCAAACCAGTGATTGTACGGGTTTAAAAAAAAAAAAAAATCGAAACCAACTCATGCCCCATGGGCCATAACCAGCCTGCCAGAGCATGGATCCAACTGGACATAATATTTTAAAAATATCCTGTATTACTAAAAGAAAAAGTAAAAAAAGGTCCCAACGCAGCTCTCCATTTATTTTCTGTTGCACTTGCCCTCGTTAGGGTCACATGAATGCTCAAAATGCATAATGCAAGTTTTTAAAATAGTTGTATCAGGACCAAAACGTATCAAATTACATCATGTATTACTTTAACCTTCCTTTTACAACATTAACATTCCTGGGTCAATATGACCCGTCGTTGGAAAAGTGAAAAAAAATCACCTCACTTTGCATTTTCAACATTATGTTGACACTTTGTAAGCCACGATTTTTTTTTTTTTTTAAAGACAGAATCATTTGCAGTTGGTTAATTTTACCACCAATATGACAGAAGGTTGGAGTGGGTCAGTTTGACCTTTTAGGTCAGAAACAGGTGGGAGTGAGGTGGGGGTAGAATCCTCATCAACATTGTTGGACAACAGTGTTAACTCAGTTATTCTCAATTTTTGTCAATGTTTTTTTGTTGCTTCCATCTATTCAGCCACCAGACTTCTTTTAAAAAAACAGCTTTGCAATGGGTCAATTTGACCCATTACCCTTAAATGTCAGAAATGGAAAAAAAAAAAAATCTCATTCACTCCATTACTCATCACCGCAATCACGATGTATAGTTGAAATGTTAGCGTTAATGCTAATCCATGTCCCGCGATGGCTCGACGCACACAAAAACGTGATTTGCACATTTCTTATTGTTGCTTTAATATCTGTGGCCTATAACTGATGCTTGCGGCGTTGCCTACTTGTCACGTGTCGTGCACTACCAAACCGCTCGGTGGCGCAAAACATTTCTTGTACATGTCGGGGATGAAGCTCCCCTGTCGCCACAGATCTATAACGGAACATTAAATGGTGTCACTTGCCTTAACCGTGAACGCTTCCAGTGTGGTTTATATATGAATCGGACTGACCCGCTCAGGTATTTTCAAGAGAAGGGAGTGCCTTTGCCTTTCATGGGATTGTGACACTGAATTGTTGGACGCTGCAACATACTATGTTATCGAAAGAACAACAAAAGCTAAAGTGACGCAACTGGAATGTGTTGATGGAGGGTTACGCCTTAACCCTTTGCTGCAAAAAAAAAAAAAAAAGTTTCACTGTATGTTTGCAAAAACAAACACACAAAAAAAGTACTTTTTTTTTTTTTTTTTAATTGGGGTGTGGAATTTTTCTGCCTTTATTTTTTTCGTCTACAAAACACTACTGCCTTTATCATCCTGCAAACACCCCTCCCATGTTCCCTCTCCCGTCATGTGCACCGTGGGTCATCTTCAGCGGGTGAGTAGAATGACTTTACTCCATTTTTACTACAAAGACTTCATAGTGAACTTTCTGAAAAGCCATTTAACTAGCCAGTGCAGATGACGTATGAATCCCTCATCGAATGTGTCATTTCAGTCAGACTGTGTCGTGCATGAACCGCCATGACCTCCTCTTCCTCCGTCCTTTCTCTTACTCACAAAGGTGTCGATGTCCCGCCCGGATGCCTTCTTCACGTACGTTGTGGCGCAAGAGGATGAGTAAGGAGGGAGAGGGGTGGAGGGGGGCACGTCGAGGTAAAGATGAAGTGAGTAAGAATGCGAATGAAAGAACCAGTTTTAAACTTGCTTTTAATCCAAGCGACAAATCAAAAGCTGGCATTGGAGAAGTTGCCAACACGTAACATTCAAATATGTGTGTGCGTGTGCGTGTGTGGTAGGAGGGGTGTGCCCTCAGCCTCTGAGCACTACTTAAAAGAGGTGTGAACATGCAACTCGTCTCAGAAACGCCGCAAAGCCTTCAGGAAAAGAAAGACAATTTCTTCTTCTTCCTTCTCCCACGCGCAACGTTTTTTAATTTTTTTTTTTTTTTTGTGTGTCCCACTTTGTCTGCCACTGAGTCGAGTGAGTCGCTGTACCATACCTTCATTTTGTAGTTTGTGGGAACTGTTGGGCCTTTTGGTGATGACTTGCATTCAACCTTACTTTTTACGTGCATGATATTTTCACTTTGTGTGTCGTGTCAATTGCCATGCCAAGTGATTACGTAAGCCCAACATGCTAGCACGACTTCCAGTGGTAACTGAAGAGCCACTCGCTGGCGCCAAAGAGAAAAAAACAAAACAAAACAACAAATGCTATTTGTAATTTTGGGCATAATGATTCACACTCGTGAACTTGTTACCGGTGGATTTGTCTGTCATTCATTTGGTAAAAAGAAAAATTACTGATGTGGCACTTGCCCTAAAAAGATGGCAAACTGTTAATTTGTCAGTTTCTTGAAAAAAGCAGATCAACTTGGTGCTGTACTTTCATCCGTCCATTCATTTTCTAATCCGCTTGTCCTCACAAGGGTCGCGTGTGGGGTGCTGGAGCTTATCCCAGCTGTCTTCGGGCAGTAGGCGGGGGACACCCTGAACCGGTTGCCAAGCAATCGCTGGGCACACATAGACAAACGACCATTTGCGCTCACAATCACACTTTGGGACAATTTAGAGTGTGCCATTAGCCTGCTATGCATGTTTTTGCAATGTAGAAGGACACCGGAGTACCCAGAGAACACCTATGCAGGCACAGGAAGGACATGCAAACTCCATACAGGGAGGCCGGAGCTGGAATCGAACCCTGCACCTCTGCACTGTGAGGCAGATTTGCTAATCAGTTGTCCACCGTGTCGCCCGTGCTGTGCTTTCCTAGAACGAAACAAAATATTGGTTTTAACCTTTCCTAAGAAACACTATTGTGGTTGCACTTTTCGTAAAGGAAAACAAAATGATCTTGTTGATGCAGCCCTTTCCTAAAAAGAAATCAAACTCCTCAATATGCGCCGAAAAGTATCCGACAAATGATGACAGATGTATTTTTTTTCTCATTTCGTCATGAATCAAAACAAGAGAAAAGCACCCTTTTCATCTTTCTTCCTCATCTTGTTCTGAATAGCAAGGCCCGTTCTTGTGTCCCGCCGATTTCCGCTTCTACGGTTATCCAAAGTGTGCCACTTTTAGGCTACTTGACTTTGTACGTTTGTTGGCACCGCTGCTTTGAATTAAATCCGCGGCGAGCACACAACAAGCACAATGTGTAATCTTTGCAACGCTGGCAAGCCTTTAAGCGCAACATTCCAAAAATGAATGTTCCCTTTTGTTTGTGCCAGCCCTCCTCAACAAGAAGCAGCCCGCAGGCAAAGCAGGTCACAAGTGGGCCTGGTTGCATCCCGTAGGAAGCCATATTGGATTGTTTGTACTTTTTTTTGTTGTTGTTTGTATGTCGGATGATCTTCATTCAAGGAATTTTCTGCGCTCAAGGCTTCTGGTTGGCTGGAATGTTGCGCGCCAGGTGACGGAATCTGCTTGGTGAACGCTTAACATGCACAGAATATCGCTGCGCTACACCGACAACATTTTTTGGGGTATTATGCTGCTGCATTCAATGGCTTTTTTGTTGTTGTTTGTTTGTTTGGGCGGATGCAGACTGTAATCTTCCCAACGTGCGGCATCACTGTGCACCACTAAATCCAGCGAACATTGTTGCCGCGGCAGGTGCCAAGAGTGGCTTACGTTTTCACTTGTGTGCACGAGGGGGCCGCTCTGCAGGAAACATACACACTGAGTCTTCCCTGCTTGTGGTGGCCGGTGAAACGTGAGCCAAGGCACGTTTTATATGCAGAAGATCTTACAACACACTACCCATTTATTTATTTATTATGGAAAGATATATATACAGTGGCGGTCCAGTAGTTAGCGCGTTGACCTCACAGTGCAGAGGTCGTGGGTTCACTTCCGCCTCCGATCTTCCTTTGTGGAGTTTGAATGTTGCCTGCGCGGGTTTTCACCGGGTATTTCGGTTTCCTCCCACATTCCAAAAACATGCATGGCAGGCTGATTGGACAATCAAAATTGTCCCTCGGTGTGAGTGTGAGCGCGGATGGTTGTTCGTCCTGCGATTGGCTAGCAACCGGTTCAGGGTGTCCCCCGCCTACTGCCCGAAGACGGCTGGGATAGGCTCCAGCACCCCCTGCAACCTTTGTGAGGATAAGCGGATCAGAAAATGGATGGATGGATGGTATATACGGTTCACTTAAATTATGGTGATCATCTCGTCTCAGTTGAACACAAAGTTATGATTCTGTTGGATAAATGGCAACCTATGGATGCACATCTTAATTGCGCTTTCTGCCATTGAGTGATGAGCATCCTCCGTCATTCACTGAAAAATTCCAAAGTATTACTTTGGCACCGTTTTGTGACATCTTGGTGTCGAGGAACTATGTCGATCTGAGTGGGAGGAGCTTCATTTAGCCAGGCCACCCGGTCAAAAGAGAAAAGCAATGCCGTTGCCTGCCGATGCAAAACCAGAGACAGGTTTATTTATTTATTGTAATTTTTTTGGGGGTGGGGGGGGCAATTATTTGTTTTTATTATTATTACCATGAATGACTTTTATTATAGAAATAAAGTGGTACTCTCATAGTCTTAAAAATATATTATGTTAGATTTTTCCTAAAACAAAGGCCTGGAATGTCATTTGAAAATTATCTTTAATTCCAATGTAATCCTTTCATCTACAACAGACCTAATAATCAAAGGCTGGGTTAGCGATTAGTATTGAATAAATACCCACAAAAAATATCTTCAAACATTGAAACCTATTTGCCTTCAAAATGTTTCATTTGGCTTCATTGACTTTGTCCTCGCCAAGCCATTCCGAGTGTGAATTATGCAGCTTGTCAAAAGAAGATTGTCATCTTTTTGCGCCTATCTCGGCTGTTCATCGGGTTGTTGTGGATTTATTTATTTTTTTGGGGGACCCATTGTT